CACAAAAACAAAACAAACAAAGACAAACAAACAGGGTCTTCCTGGACTCTCAGGTAGGGCTGAGATTTCTTTTGGAGTGATTCCATATGAAGAGAAAACACCGATGTGGAGATTGAGGACAGCAAACTTTTGTGCAAACTTTGTTTAGCTTGAAAACAGACTAGATTGTTAGCATGCAGAAAAATTTCTGTGTAGATTCTTGTTCCTTAAGTGCCAAAGTGCTGTTCTAATGCCTTTTGACACGTCTCCAGCTGAGTGATTCAGCCCTGGCCTCCAGGACCCTCCACAGGCTCTCCCTCCCTCAGGGGTGCAGGTGTGTCCCTGGGTGGGGTGGAGGCCAGGAAACTAACCACAATCTGGCTCTGAGACCGGGCTCTTGCCTTGGAGGCAAAACAGGGTGAAACACACGCAGGCAGGATCCCAAACCGCAGAAGCTCAAGTTAGGTCATTCTTGCGAACATGACAACTGCTTGTCTCTCTAGGTCAACAAAATGCAACAGAAACACATTTGAAAAGTGGCTTAAAAATGCAGAATTTGGGGGTTGGAGGCATGGCTCAGATGGTAAAGCTCCAGCCAATGAGCAAAAGTGTCAGATATCAAATTCAAGTCCCTGTTTCAGACAAAAAAAAAAACCCACAAAAAACAGAATTTGCATGAATGTTGCAATTTCCTATTGTATGGTATTCAAAAGAAAGTTAGTTTTACATGGTTTTCTATGAGCTAACATAAAAAGCTAGAGTAGGGTTCCCTGGTTCTATAGCAAGAAGGTTGTGTTCAAGGATCTGAAATCACTAATTCAATGTCTGATTTCTTACTCCCTCTACATGGCGGACTAAGCACCAGGTGGGGACATTTCACCACCTCCCTCCCGTCATCCCTCTGCTCTGTGGCACCCGCCATTCTGGGGCAGTTAGAAATAAGGATAGCTCAGTGGAAACAGTAGTGAAAAATTAGGATGCCTTTTCAAATAGTTATCTTGGGAGCTCTGCCATGGTGGATGAGCCCTTAGCACATTCGTCATTTTACCTTAAACACGGGATCCAGCCTAAGGCAGAGGCAAATGAGGTCTTGGGAATGCACAATTACTGTTCATCCACTGTGGCAATGTGAAAAACAACACTGCGTAACAGTAATGTTCTCACGGGGCACAGATGGCTTGCTTATGCTTGTAATCTTAGCTACTCAGGAGGCTGAGATCTGAGGATTGTGGTTTGAAGCCAGCCAGCCAGGAAAGTCCATGAGATTTTTATCTCCAGTGAACCAGAAGTGGAGTCAGAAGTAGAGCTGTACTAGCACGCACACACACACACACACACACACACACACACACACACACACACACCTTTTTGTTCACAGTATATTTAAAAATAATCATTAGGAAAAAGAATCTGCCATTAGGAAGAATCTGTGCAAAAGTCTAAGGCATGATAGAAGTGGCTATATTTTGGCTTGAATTCTACCTTCTACTATAATGTTACCCAGAAAGTGGATAATACAACATGTAGGAAACACAAATGCTTTATTATTTTAAACTTTTTTCCTTTGTGCAATGTTGGAGTTTGAAGAATGCTTTGTTTTTGGGATGGGTACCCCTGAAGCTTAGTAATAGTGATCAATTCAGTTACATTTTTGATCCACTCTTCTAAGGTAAGTTAATAACAAACTCTTTTCTTTTATTATTTAACCTTTCTCCATCTACCTATAACATGGGGAATTTTGCCAAGAGTCGTAGTGGTTGCTTTGACTGTGGGAAATGTCATATCGACATTTATTTTGAAGACAGGAAAGAATAAGAACCAAAATTGATACTAAATGCATTACATTTTGCCTACTACAAATGTGCTGAAGGCAGCTACATAGAATCAGCCATGTAGATTAGTTATTTCTGGGTCTAGCTCTTCTCTAGCTGCCACTTTGCCATTGGTTGGCTCAGCTTCTGATTCTTACAGCAGACCTGCCTGAGAAGCCAGTTCACCTTCTTGACTACCTTTCTTTCTTTCTTTCTTCCTTCCTTCCTTCCTTTCTTTTTCTTTTTTTGGGTCCAGTCGTGGGGCCTGAACTCTGGGCCTGGGTACTGTCCCTCAGCTCTTCAGCTCAAGGCTAGCACTCTACCACTTGAGCCACAGCGCCACTTCCGGCTTTTTTTTCTGCTTATGTGGTGCTGAGGAATCGAACCCAGGGCCTCAAGCATGCAAGGCGAGCACTCTACCACTGAGCCACCTTCCCAGCCCTCTTGCCTACTTTTCTATGTAGATTTTTAATCTCTCTAACGGAGGTAACTTAACCTGCTCTGGACCCACAGACCATGAGTTCTCTTCTGTGCCAGAATAAGGACTAACATTGTTCTAGAGATAGGGGCTAGGAAGACTTTTTCCATGTTGTTAATATCAAGTCACGGTGGTTGTTGGCCCCACACTGGAATTTTTTCTGGCTCTAGAGGTCTCGGCTCTTGTCCATCCACTTGACAAATATTTATTGAGAATCTATTATGTACCAGGCATTGTATTGGGCTTCAATGTATAACAGCAACTAACACTGAGAGAGGTCTTTGCCCTTCTTTGACTACTACATTTTAAGTTGCCTTATTTTTTTGCTCTTTTATAGCTTTTTTTTTTCTTTCCAGAGCTGAGGACAGAACTCAGGCTTTGTGCTCGCCAGGCAGGTGCTCTTCCGCTGAGCTAAACCACAGCCCCTACGACTTCATTTCAAGTAAATGAGGTTTGCTCTCCCGTTTCTGAGTTTCAATCTTTGTTGTCTGATCAGTAAGTCACTTTTTTTTTTTCTCAGAGCACTGCTTCTCAAAATTTATTTCCCTTCGTATGGAAATCTTGTTAAATTGCAGACTCTGAATAAGCCCAAAGTGAGACCTGAACTCTACGTTCCCAGCCAGCTCCCAAATGCTGCTGCTGCTGCCACTTGGATTACACTTGGAGTGGTCAGGCTGTGCAGCCAGCAGTGCGGGCATCATCTACTGATTTTCCAGAGATAAAGGAAGTCTTTTCCACTAAGGGAAGTCTGCCATTTACATGCAAATCACAAGAACTTGAAATCCATGATAAAAAAGTATTACATCTGATCTCTTTCTGTCTCTGTCTCTCTCTCACACACACACCTTTATGAGTAAGATAACTTTCCAAAATTTCTGAAATTTCACAATGGAGTAAGCATTAGATGATCTGGGAATGTGGCCTTCACTCAAGTTAACACACAAATCTTTCTTTAAAACTGAGACCCAGAACTGGGTACAGGTGGTTACTTCAGTTGACACTTGTTATCTGTTAACCAATAAGTAGAAATAGGAGAATCGTGGTCCAGCCCAGCCCAGGCATAAATGTCAGACTCTATCTCACCCCCCCACCCCCCAAAACAAACTAAAGTAAAAAGGGTTGAGGATATGGCTTAAGTGTAGCACTCCTGTCTAGCAGGTGTGAAGTCCTGATTTTACCCCTTAATACTGTCAATTGCCTGCCTCTCAAACAGAGGCCAGGACCTTGCTCAGAGTCACGTGGCTAATAAAAGAATCAGCCTGCAGTGCTTGTGTGGTTTCTCTCTGTTGGCAGCCTGAGATGCAACTCAGCTTCCCACCCACTGCAGGAATGCCTCTCCTTGACCAGTCCCCACCCTTTTCATCCACAGGCTGAGTGTTTCAGTCCATTACCTCTAAACCTCCACACCCTTTCTGATGCTTTACTTCAGCTCCCATAGACACCATCCTCCCTCCTTTGCTTCACCAAACTATCAAGCCATACCTGTAATTGGTTGACTTTCCCCAAAGGCTAAGCCTGCCAGCCTTTTCAGAGTGAAGCAGGCCAGGTGAAGTGTGTGGGTGGAAAGGGCGTTGTCTGCAAGTCTTCTATTCACCTTTCCAGAAAGCATATGTCCTATTATTCTCCTGGGTCAGAGCTTCTTCTTTGCTATGTGTTCTGTAGTCTTACTGAATGCATGTGTGTGCCTCCTTTATTGTTTACAGCTTCAAGACTTTCTCATTCTTTCAAATTGACACTTCTCTCCTCTTCTCTCCTCTCTCTATCCAGATAAGTGCTGTTCCTCACACAAAGTTAATTAAATGGACACACCTGGAATAGATGGTGTTTGATTGTGTACTTAACACAATGCATGAAGTTCAGTACTTTTCAATAATGGCAGTGCATAAGAAAAATATTCTAAAGGAATTTAAAAAGCTCGATGGAGGCTGAAGACAAACTCTGTGGTAGAAAGTTTGCCTAGAGTACACAAGGCCCAGGCCTGGCAGCACAAACACAGATAAGTAATCAAAATCAATTACAAGGAGGCAGGCACTAATAATAGTTAATAACATTTCCCAGGTGATCCCATTTAAGGTTGAGGACTACTGGGCAATTTAGGGAAATAGTGGGTGGGCATATTGTATTTTTCTATAAGGGATAAACCATAGGTTTTAGATGATTCTCAAAAGTGCTCTGTGACAACCCCCTCTGCCCTTTCTCCCTCTCAAGAGTAGCTCAGTGACGGGTCTGAAATAATAAACACAAAGAACATGCTAGTTAAGGAAATACCAAATATTTGTTGACTAAATAGGTCTGATAAGTAGGGGATTGTATATTGTTCCCAAAGGAATCTTTGAGGGGGCTGGAAATGTGGCTTGGTGGTAGAGTGCTTGCCTAGCATGCATGGAGCTCTGGGTTCGACTCCTCAGTACCACATACACACAAGAAGGTGGAAGTTCCTGTGGCTCAAGTGGTAGAGTGCTAGCTTTGAGCAAAAGCTCAGGGACAGTGCCCAGGCCCCGAGCTCAAGCCCCAGAACTGGCCAAAAAGAAAAAAGAAAAATAAGAGGAATGTTTGCGGGCCTTTGGGTGGCACAGGGAGCCACTGGCTGGCCCTCAATCACCAAAGGCCAAGCGAAGGATCCTACACCCCCAGCTCCCACAACCACGGAGGAGAGAACCGGGGCCCGAGGACTGGCAGGTTCCGGCTGGGGGCGTGGTTTTAGGAGATCCCAGAAATCCTCTTCCGGAATTGGCTGATGCCCCGGAAGCAATTGTTTGCCGGTCACGGTTCAGGGCTGTGGTCACTATGCTGCTCTCGGCCGTCTCCCGTAAGGGGGGGGGCCGGTGGTGGTGGCGGGACCCGCGGCGGGGGCGGGTGACCGCGCCGGGTGCTGCGGGGCGGTGAGGGCGGGCGGGGGCGCGGGGCCGTGTGGCGTCCCGGGGTCCCGGGCTCCGCCGAGCGGCTTCGCCGGAGGTAGGTCAGGCCGTGTGGGAAAGCCCTGCAGGGGCTCTGTCGGAGCGCGTCGATGTCCCAGCTGGAAGGATCGCAGGCTTTCTAACCCTAAAGACGAGGACCCTGTCCCGCGCGGGGCGCCGGAAGTGCCCGGGATCGCGCCTCCTGCAGGTCGGCCCGCCGCCTTGCGTGTGGTGCCCCTGCTCCACCGCCCCGGTTTCCAGAGTGATCTGTGCCACCAGAGGCTTGTTACAGTGCAGCCAGCTACACCCTACAAGAAAAAATGGGGCCAGTATTCCTTTAGGAAGACTTGAAAAGTATCCAGTCCACTGCAGTGAGGGCGCAAAGCATTGCGTTCCTCATTGTGTGGGTCTGATCAATCCTGGTCCTGTAAGATGCTCGTGGGTTCCCTGATATTGAGGAAGCATGCTTCATGAGTTAAATGTTTGTTTTTTTTTATATTACTGTTTATAAGAATAATAAACTTGTATTTTTTCTCTTTCAACCGTTACACAAAAAGTTGCCAAGAGCAAGTCAAAGTAAGTAAAAGTTTTTGTTTCATTTGCACTTTGTTTATGTGAGGTTTTATTAATCCAGTTGTAATTAGCATTTCTTTATATTAGACTAAGCATTTTGCCTTGATTGTCTTTTCCTTTTTTGTTTAATGCTGGCACTGGATCTTGAACTCAGGGCCTAAGCTCTGACCCTTAGCTTTTTTTGCTTAAGGCTTCTGCTTTACCACTTGAGCCACACCAACAGTTTGGGATTTTTGCTGGTTAATTGAAGATAAGAATTTCTTGGACTCTTCTTCCTGAGTTGGCCAGCCTCCTGAGTAGCTAGGATTACAGGTGTGAGTCACTGGTGCCTGACTTTAATTTTCTTAAAGTAGATCTAATTTTCTTAAAGTAGATCTGAGGGTTAATTGTTTATTTAATTATTTTGTCCTGATGAATTCTTTCAAGATATCCTGATGCTCCTTGACTTGTGATGGTGTTACCTCCTGAAAAACCCATCACAGGTTCAAAATATGGTGAGCTGAAATGCCTTTAGTAAACCTAACCTACAGAAGGTCACAGCTAGCATCCCAGTATGCTGTATTGGTTGCTTCCCCTGTGTCTTGGGGGTGACAGGGAGTAGTAGCAGCTGTCCAGCATCTCTAAAGGATCTTTACCTATTGCTACTCTGGTAAAAGGTATTTGAAGTCAGAATTCTGTCAAAAGCTCTGCATTCACATGATGGTATCAGGCTGAATATTTTATCTTTATTTGACTATTCAATAGTAGAATCATAATTTTTCTTACGTTATTATGTCTGAATCCCCACCTTTAGATTCTGTAAAAATCCTGTGCTTTTTTTGGGATCTAGAAGGGTCCCCTGCATTTCATGTTTTTATCATTTTGTGACATTTGTCATATATATATATTACCTTCAATTTTTATACACCAACTCACCTTGCATACTTTTAGCTAGTTTTTTTTTTTTTTTTTTGCTTTGTCAGTACTGGGGTTTGAACTCAGCATCTCACACTGGCTTGACAGTTGATTTTCAACTTGAGCCACACTTTCACCCTTGCTTTTTGATAGTTATTTTGGAGTCTTGTGGACTATCTGCCTAGTCTAGCTTTGAACTTCCATCCTCCAGGTATCAACCTTCTGAATAGGTCAGATTATTGACATAAGCAACTGGTGCCTGGATAGAGTAGCTTCCTGCAGTGTTTTTCACAGAGTTAGTTAGCACTGGGTAGATTTTTTTTTTTTTGGTCAGTCATGGGGCTTGAACTCTGGGCCTGAATGCTGTCCCTCACCTCTTCAGCTCAAGGCGAGTGCTCTACCATTTGAGCTACTGCACCACTTCCAGTTTTCCGAGTGGTTTATTGGAGATAATTGTCTCATGGACTTTCCAGCCCAGGCTGGCTTTGAACTATAATCCTCAGATCTCAGCCTCCTTAGTAGCTAGGATTACAGATGTGAGCCCCCAGTGCCTGGCTTGGGTAGATTTGTTTGAATGTTTCTTGAATAGATGACTGATTATTGTCTGTCTTAATCATTGTGCTGTACTGTGAAAGCAGTGGAGTGGTATGTAACATGGTCTGAAATAGTTGAAATTTGTTTTGTAATTACATGGGAAGTAACATGGTGTATGTGGGGAGACAAGACAAATGAAAAGTAACAGACAACACAGGTATTAAAAGCTGTAGTGACCACACACACTTGTTTTTTATTGATTAAGAAATCACTCAGGTCAAGACTAAACCTTGAAATTTGAATCAATTGAAAGTGGGTTTTATAGGCGTGTAGGTTGTCTTAGAACTGAACCTTCTTAGGGCCACCTGACATCTACAACCACTGTGATTCCACAGAGTTCAGAATGTGATCTCTACGCACAGCAGTTCAGTGTGTTTTCTCAGCTTGTAACAGTTTACTCTTTAATCTTAGAACCATTCTGGTGAAAATGGTCAGCCAAGCTGGGACAGGTTTCTCCTTCAACACCAAGAGAAGCCGACTCCGAGAGAAACTGACTCTTTTGCATTATGATCCAATTGGTAAGATTCAGAGAAGTGATTCCACAATATGTTCAAAGACCTTCAAAGCCTATCACCTTCTTTCTAGACTATTTGTCTGTGACAATTTTGTCACATGTACTGATCAGATGTGGCATAAGCCAAGATACCAGGCAGATTCTGTCCCTTTTGTCTTGGCATTTACAGTCTGGATGGAGAGGGAGAGGGGAAAAGTGACACTGATAAATGCTGTTAGCCAGAGATGATTGAGATGTGGAGATGTAGGAGGGAATGTGGATGGTAGGATGAGTTATATTAGCTAGGATAGTTAAGCAGAGTCTCCCAGTGGGGATTGTTTACCATGACAAGAAGGTGAGAAGGTGTAGGGTTCTAGTAGGGTTCTAGAAACAAAGGGTCTTGAGGAGGCCAGGGTGGTGTCTGACAATGGCATGTTCTGGGATCCAGATGTGAGTCAAAGGGACATATATACCTATGTGTTGGTGCACGAGGGCAGAGAAGTTGATTCCATTTTGTGCCATGTACCAAAATTCTGGATTATCTAGTCACGATCTCAGTAGGGAGAAATATTTATTTAAAGGAGATAAATGTGCCGAGCACTGGTGGCTTACGCCTGTAATCCTAGCTACTCAGGAGGCTGAGATCTGAGGATGGAGGTTCAAAGCCAGTCTGGGCAGAAACATCTTTGAGACCCTTACCTCCAGTGAACCACTAGAAAACCAGAAGTGGTGCTGTGGCTCAAGTGGTAGAGCACTTGCCTTGAGCTGAAATGCTGAGGGACAGCGCCCAGGCCCAGAGTTCAAGCCCTACAACTGCCTCCCAAAAAGATTAATGTTCCCCTGGCCAGTTGTCTACTCACAAACCAAGTAGAGTCAGAACCTGATGGCTGTTGGTAGAAGTCCATCCTGTTTCTGGATTTGGTGGACAGATTTGTATAAAATTAGCAAACAACTTTAAAACTTTCTCTGATTTTAATTCGTTTAGAGTTTATTTAGAAACTTGCACAGTACTAATTAGTGTTGCCCTTAAAAAATTTGAGTACTGGGGGTTGAACTTCGGGCCTTGTGTGCTGGAGGCAACAATTCTACTACTTGAGCAGTGCCTCCTGTTCTTTTTTTTTTTGGTCGGTCGTGGAGCTTGAACTCTGGGCCTGGGTCCTGTCCCTGCTCTCTTCAGCTCAGGGCAAGCACTCTACCGCTTGAGCCACAGCCACACTTCCGGTTTTCTAGTGGTTTATTGGAGATGAGAGTCTCACGGATGTTTCTGCCCAGGCTGGCTTTGAACAGTGGGCCTCAGATCACAGCCTCCTGAGTAGCTAGGATTACAGGCGTGAGCCACCGGCATCCGGCTCCTCCTGTTCTTTTGACTTCATTTTTGTGCCCTTCATAACTGCTTCTTAAAGGCAAGAGAAAGATTGTATAATATAAGATGTTAAAAAAAATCTCTTGAGAAGTCCAGTTGTCAGCTTAAAATTACTTGAATTCCATTCTTTAATAGCAATAAATTCCCTCATGGTTTTGTAGTGTTATTAATTTTAGTTATTTCAGAATAAAAAGGCAATTCTAGGTTGATAGTTGAGGATTAGAAGTCAATTTCAGGATGATTCTTCATTTGGAAAGTTATTGGTGTTTTTTTTTTTTTGGTGGTGGTACTAGGATTTGAACTTGGGCATTGTGCTTCTTAAGCATTTGCTACACTGCTTGATCCATTCTTTGAGCCTGAAAAATTTGTTACTGGATTGTTTTTTTTTTTCCTCTGCTTTTTTATGTTAATGGGTGGAAACTCAAAAAGTGATGAACTGTATAATAAAATAACTTGTGAATTTTTTTTTTTGGGAGGGGCGTAGGTTGTGGGTCTCAAGGCTACCTGTCTACCACTTTGAGCCACAGCTCCACTTCTGATTTTCTGGTGGTTAGTTGAAGATAAGGGTCTCACGGACTTTCCTGCCTGGGCTGGCTTTGAACTGTGATCCTCAGATCTCAGCCTCCTGAGTAGCTAGGATTATAGGCATGAACTACCAGTGCCCAGCTTTCTGTAATTTTCTTTTAGAGTGCATTTAGGAATTTGCACAGCACTAATTACTGTTGATGGAATAAACTTCTGTGGTAGTTTATGTGTACAAATGTATTGGAGTTTTCATCCATGTGGAGTAGGTAGTGGGAACTTAGCATTTGTCAAAGTTTTGAGATTGGGAAAAGGATACAGATGTAAACATTTTTGACCATGAGTTCAGAAAGTAGAAGGAAATATTCATATATAAATTTCAAATAGACAGGAATTTTTAGTAAGAAGGTCAGAGCTTTGCAGAGCCTTGCAGTATAGCAGAAGAGAATGTTCTGGAATAGGAAACTGCCATGTTTTCTGCCAATAGATGCTCTTGTAGACTTTTGTGATAAAGGTGTTTACCTTGAGGTCTGTCTAGAGTACCAGATAGTTTGATAGTTCTCTCATCATGTATTACTGTGATGAGTAAAGTTAGGTTTAGGATAATGTTTTGTCTATTTTATGAGTCAGATCAGGTTGAAAACATTTCATAGTGCTCTGTGACAAGAAGCAGCGATGTCATCCTCTGTCCTTTCCATTAGCTGCTTCTGGGCGCTGGTGGCTCACGCCTGTAGTCCTAGCTGCTCAGGAGGCTGAGAGCTGAGGACCATAGTTTGAAGCCAGCTCTGGCAGAAAAGTCTCTGTGAGATTCTTTTTTTTTTGGGGGGGGGGGGGTCCAGTTGTGGGGCCTGAACTCTGGGCCTGGGCGCTGTCCCTCAGCTCTTCAGCTCAAGGCTAGCGCTCTACCACTTGAACCACAGTGCCACTTCCGGCTTTTTTCTTTTGGCTTATGTGGTGCCGAGGAATCGAACCCAGGGCCTCATGCATGCAAGGCAAGTGCTCTACCACTGAGCCACGTTGCCAGCCCCGAGATTCTTTTTTTTTTTGTCTGTCATGGAGCCTGAATTCTGGGTCTGGGCACTGTCCCTCAGCTCTTCAGCTCAAGGCTAGTGCTCTACCACTTGAGCCACAGTGCCACTTCTGGCTTTTTCTGCTTATGTGGTGTTTAGGAATTTAACCCAGGGCCTCCTGCATGCAAGGCAAGCGCTCTACCACTGAGCCACCTTCCCAGCTCCCCTGTGAGATTCTTATCTCCAGTTAACCACTCAGAAACCAGAAGTGGAACTGTGGCTCAAAGTGGTAGTTCTAGCCTTGAGCAGAAGAGCTCAGGGACAGCACCCAGGCTGAGTTCATGCCCACAGCCCACCAAACAACCACCACCACCACCACCAGCACCACAACAACAAAACCCACAGAAAAAACACAGAAAAGCAAAACTAGCTGCTAATTTCCAAGGAGGAAGGATTAAAGGCTAAGGTGTAAGCTTATTAAACTGCTTATCATAAAGAGAATGAAAACTTGTCAGTTTCATTTCTATGGATGAGTAAACAAGGCAATGTAGACTTAACTGAGACAATGGATGTAGGTTAGCTGTAGGGAAAGAGCTTGACAGAATCATTGTTCTGTGAATTTAACAGCAAATATTTTGATAGAATTAATTTATATTTATGGTTGTGGATAGCAGCATGTCATTTCAGTTCAACTAGCACAAATTGAGTGCTTGTTGTGTATATGACAGCAAAGGAAATAGAGTTCTTTCTCATAAGGAGAAAAGAATATTCTTAGAAATGTGCTTAGAGACTCAGAGCTGACCAATAATGGAGCCAAAGTCTAAAACTAACCCTTCCAAATCCAAGTGCCCGCTCTTTCTACTACATGGGCACAGCTTCCTTTTCTAGAAACTTATTTTTTAAACAAAACCAGTGCTTTCCTTTGTGGTCAGCCCAGTATTAAAGCCTGGGAGCCCAAGGGTCTTTCCTGTCTCCTCCCATCATTCTAGTTTTAGTTTGTCCAAAAGCTGCTCCTTTAGAAGCCAACCTTTATTCTTTCTTTGAGGCCTCATGTAGCCAATGCTGTTGCCTTTATCTTAATGTTCTTGGGTGTGTGCATGTTCGACATTCACACAAGTACCTCATGGTGTATTAAGTTAGGCTTTCTTGCATCTTGTGGACTCCACATTGCCTTGAACAACTCCATGGACAAAGTGTTCTTTGAATTCAGTAGAGACAGAGGATGGAAGGGATTTTCCTGAATAAATAAAGCTGTGCTCTGTTAATCTTGACTAGCGACTTCTGGTTATGTTCATTTAAATAATTTGCTTCTTAGTTAAACAAGTTTCCTTTTACCTTTTTGTTTTTTTTTTTTTGAGTGGTGCCAGGGATGGAACTTAAAGCTTTTTTCCACGTTAGGTAGGCATTCTGCTGAGTTTAACCACACCCCCAGCTCCTTTTTAACTTCCATGTAGAAAAACTTGGAAAATATTTCTTCAACTAACAAGAATGTGTAATGGAAAAGTGTCATTTTTTTTGTCTTGTTTTTTTTGGGGGGTGCCAGTCCTGGAGCTTGAACTTGGGGCCTGGGAGCTGTCCCTGAGCTTCTTTGCTCAAGGTTAGTGCTCTACCATTTGAGGCACAGCTTTACTTCAGCTTTTTTTGTGCTTAATTGGCGATAGTCTCATGGGCTTTCCTGGACAGGTTGGCTTTGAACTTTGATCCTCATATCTCAGCCTCCTGAGTTGCTAGGATAACAGGAATAAGCCACCAGTGCCCAGTTTGAGGATTTCTTTAACTGTAGCTCTGCTGGACCAGAATTAGGATAGGGAAATCTCATTTATGGTGGAAACTAGTGAAGAGATGTTATGATTGGATTTTCCGTGGTGCATTTGTATTTTTTTTTTTGCCAAGAGGAATCAAGTTGGGAGGTGAGATGTGTGTGATACATGTGTGGGTAAGTATCATGTATGTAGAGGTTAATAATGGGCTGTTGGGACATTGTGGGACCTATGAAAACCTCACTTCCTAGCATCCAGCAGCCTCTCATGGCCCCCTCTCATGGGGGCCGACAGCACTTTGTTTTGATTTTGTTACAGGAGACGGTATTCTGTAATATTCACAATGTATCGTATTTTGTAAAACTAAAACATCTGGTTTGCGCATATTAAACTACCTCTGGAAATAGAGGTTCCATGGCATTTATTCTTTTCCTGGATTGCCATTTCTTTTGGGATTTGCTCAGTTCTGCTACTCCATTGCTGTAGTCCAGTTCTCAGCCTGTTCTTAATTATCTATGTTTCACGATTGGACATTATTTCCCATTTTTACACCCAATTTTTTTCTTTTTATTGCTTAAAAAATTATTTTCTTGTAAAGATGCTGTATAGAGGGGTTACAATGACATCATAGGGTAATGAGTACATTTCTTGTCAAGCATTGTTACCCTCTCCTTTGTTTTTCTCCTACTATCCCTTCCCTCCCCCACCTCCTCCACTCCCCACCCCCAAGTTGTAAAGTTCATTTCCAACATAGTGTCTTGTAAGTATCATTGTTGCAATGGGCCATCTGTGTCCTTGTTTCAGCATTTTGTTATTCCCTTTCCCCTTCCCAAATGAGATAAATGTAAATACAAGATGAAGTTACCAAAATCAAATAACAGTGACAACAGGGATATACCATAGGAGGAAGAACATACAAAAGAAACAAAGAAAAAAAATCACATAATACATTAAAAACAACAGCCAGGCACCAGAGGCTCACACCTATAGTCCTAGCTACTCAGGAGACTGAGATCTGAGGATTACGGTTCAAAGCCAGCCTGGGCAGCAAAGTCTGTGAGACTCTTATCTCCAATAAACCACCAGAAAACAGGAAGTGGCTCTGTGGCTCAAGTGGTAGAATATTGGCCTTGAGCTGAAGCCCCATGACTGACAATAAAAATAAAAAAATAAAAACAACAGCAAAGGAAAACCTCTTGTGTCCACATCTTGGGGTTCATTTCGCTTAGCATCATCTACATACATATGGTCCTATGTACATAGCTTTTGAGCTTTTCTGCTCATCTGATAAGATTATCCTAGACATAGACTAATTATTGCAAATAAGGGAAACTATGGGACCTATATTTCTTTGGGTCTGGCTTACTTCACTTAATATTTTTTCCAAGTCTTTCCATTTCCTAACAAATGGGCAGGTGTCATTTCTTTCTGATGGAAGCATAGAATTCCATTGTGTATATATACCACATTTTCTTGATCCATTCATCTACTGAGGGGCATCTGGGTTGGTTCCATATCTTAGCTATGGTGAATAATTCTTTTTATTGCTTTTTGAGGTACTGAGGATGCCACTGATGGAATGGTGGCTTGCTTTCTTTTTTTTTTTCCTGTACCATTTTCTCTTGTTTTCTCTAGTCTGCGATTGAGGACCTGTGTATTTGCAAATCAGCTCCATATTCATGTCAATGGAATAATAAACTTAAGAGAAAGGAGAAGACTTTGATAATGTGTATTGTAATAAAATATTTTTTAGTTTTCTGTTACAGCCTTTTTTTCTCCTTCCACAGTACAGAAAAAAGTCCTCTTCACAGAACTGAAAAAAATACGCTCTCTTTGAACAATGGATTAAACATGAGTTTGATTTATAAAGGAGAAGACTGAGGGTGGGGATACTGATTGAGAAATCCTGCAGCGAGTAATAAAGAAGAGGAAATGGTACAGCCTCACTGCCTCCTTTGATTTGAAGGCCATTGTGAAGGGAACAATGTAGTGAAAGGAAGGTCTTCAGGACAGATATCATTCTACCAATTATTTATCTTTCTGGATACTTTTATAGTCGTTAATAAAAAAGTATTAAAATAGCCTGTGCAATTGTCTCTTAGTATTTCCCACTACTGTTTGAAATGAAAAGAACATTACCAAGAAATAACCATTGCTTTATATAATAAAACATTATTCCCCCATGATGAGATTTGTATGAATTTCTTGGTTGCCCCTTGTACTTCGTAGAAAAGGCACAGTAGCACTCCAGGTGATCTTGGAAGAAATTCCCATGTAATAACTGCGATGGATGTCAAAGATAAGTGGGAAGAAGAATAAACCAAGTTTTTTTCTGGTTTTGATGTGTATTTGTATAAGTAGGAAGAATGCCAGTGACATATTCTCAAATCCAACAGCATACAGTTTTTTGTTTTTGGTAGGTCATGGGGCCTGAACTCTGGGCTTGGGCGCTATCCCTCAGCTCTTCAGCTCAAGGCTAGTGCTCTACCACTTGAGCCACAGTGCCACTCTGGCTTTTTCTGCTTAGTGGTACTGAGGAATCAAACCCAGGGCCTCATGCATGTAAGGCAAGCAATATCTACCACTAAGCTACCTTCCCAGCCCCAGTGTATAGAATTTTCTAAAAAGTGAGCTTTTGGCTGGGTGCCACTGGTTCTTGCCTATAATCCTAGCAACTCCAGGAGGCTGAGATCTGAGGATCACAGTTCAAAGCCAGTCCAGTCAGGGAAGTCTACGCCTCTCAGAAGTGGAGGTGTGGCTCAAGTGGTAGAACACTGGCTGTGAACAAAAAAGCACAGAGCAGTGCTCAGCCAGGGTTCAAGCCCCAAGACAGGCAACCCCCCAAAAAGGATTACAAAAGCTGCCTTTTTTCCCCTTTTTTGTACATTAAGTATTTGGCAATGTTTTGTGCTAGCCTTGGCCACAAGCATTAGGGAATCAATGGTGTCCCACAATGACAGGTGTCCTGCCTTTTGGCAAAATTTGTTTCTGGAGGAAATGCAGGAGCAGCTCTCTGGAAAGGGAATTAGTGATAAACAGTTGTTGAGTCTTAGGGGCTTGTGGTATTCTAGTCAAATCAGCTATTTTATGGCCTCTTGTGAAACTGTGGTTGGAAGTAGTAACAGGTGAGATCTTGGCTACTTTTATGCTAAAACTACTTTGTAGTCTTAGGTTACAAGAATCTTTTAGATGACTGTAGATACGCTAATATAGAAGGTATGGGACATGCATGGATCTCTTTAAAAAGAAAAGTAAAAGCTTAATATCTGGTCTAATGAATAACTTGTCTGTTTAGTCCTTGAGCTGAATGTAGCTCACAGGGTGTTTATATTTTTTTAATTGGTTACTGACTCATAAGCACTTGAGATATTTCAGTATCCAAATTTTGGATTACAAAACCATATATTTCACCTTAGGTGAAAAGTGACTGTCAGCTGTCTGAGAAGGTGCTTGGGGAAATCCAGTTCTGTGCCCTTTTTCCTTACTGACCATTCTCTGCTCTGGCTTGAGACACTGGTCCACCATAGTGTGTCAAATAGTGTTCACGTTTGCTAGCAATAGAATTTGCCGGTAGTCTCTTATAGTACTAATTTTTGTACAGATCCTGATGATGGAGTTTAATGCTTTTCTAGTTTAGTCGGCTTTGTAAGTGCATGGAAAGAAAAGGATAGTTACAAACTAGGAATTAAAAGAACATTTCTAGTAAGTGGTAGCTAAGAGTAGCTACTAAGAGTAGTACTTTTTATTTCAAGTTATATTTAGGGCTAGAAGCCATCAAAATAGAGTCGGTGGAAGGTCTTTTTTGTACGGATATGAAGACTGTGTTCCTGCAGTTTGCACGCTGACTGAGGCGATGAAATTGGACCTCTTCAGCATTTCTTCAAAGGACAGACTTGGGTAGTAAGCCAGGTAGAAGGCCAAGGCTCCCACAAAACTGTCACCAGCACCCTGTAATAGAAAGCATAGTTATAGTAAGCAAGTAGCTAATCTGTTGTCAAATTGCATAGTTAAAAAACAATTTTAGAATAGTTTATAGAAAAAGTGCAAGGACAGTACAGGGAGTTTCCATACTATCCCCTCCAATTTTTCTACATCTTCCTGTGGTACATTCTTCCTTAATTCTAATGGTCTGACATGAACTTAATATCAAGATGCTATCCATCTCACATTGAGTTGTTTTTGTAGACTGGAAGGCTAGGACAGTTTCTTAGACATTGTTTTTGATGACTTTGGTAGACCCAAGGTGGACTGGTCAGCTTATGTAGAATGGGCTCAACTGGGATGTGGATCTTTTTCTCTCCCATGTTTAGGCTGGTTTTTCATGTCAAGGATATACACAATGAACACTGATGTTAACCTTGATCACTTTGCCCCTCTTTTCATATTGTACTCATTAGAAGCAAATCACAAAGTACATTCTACTTATGTTCTGAAGCTATGTGTTAGCTTGAGGGTAAATTGTTCCACATAAATTGCTTTGAATTTTGTATGGGAGATCTCTATTCAATCATTTATATCAGTATGAACTCGTTTATTATCTGTGCTAAATTATCTAATATTTATTTTGTCGCTCAAATTGTTCCAGCTTTGGCCATTTGGAGATTTCTTGTAGTGTCCATCATTTTGTTTTTGAGTGCTTCTTCCTGACATAAGATGCCCTAGACTCTTTTTCTGTAGATCTTATCTACAGAATTAGCCATTAAATATGCATGCAAGAAGTAGAACCAGCCAGATGTTCTCCATCTAAATACAGGGACCTAGCAAGTTTTTTGTTTTCTAAGGCCTATGTTGGAGAAAACTATGGAAGAACTAACAACCATAAGAAACCACCATAAGAAAGTCTTTGGACCTCTGCCTTTAGACAGGGCAACCCCTAGTCATGTGTTCAGTTAACAAATTTAAAACAAATGTGGTTACATAGTCTCCCTTGAAAAAGTTTTTCCCAGATTGCTAGCTCCTATGTATATGTGTGTGTGCATGTGTGCATGCATGCGTGTGTGTGTGTGTGTGTGTGTGTGTGTGTGCGCTGGCACTGGGGCTCTTAACCTTTTTTTTTTTGCCAGTCCTAGGGCTTGAACTCAGGGCCTGGGTACTGACTCTGAGGGTTTTTTTTGCTCACGGCTAGCACTCTACCATTTGAGCCATAGGGCCTGCCACTTCTGGCTTTTTTCTGTTTATGTGGACCTAATGAATCAAACCCAGGGCTTCATGCATGCTAGGCAAGCACTCTACTACTAAGCCACATTCCCAGTCCCCTCTTCAGCTTTTTTTGCTCAGAGTTGGATCTCTACTGCTTGACCTCCAGTTCTGGTATTTTGCTGCTTAGTTGGAGATAAATGTTCTTGGGTATGTCTGTCCAGCCTGGTTTTGAACCTAGATCCTCATATCTCAACTGCCTGAGTAGGATTAAAGGTAAGAGTCATACTGTGCCTGACTCTAAAAGCTTTTATAAACAGAGACTGTTGCATCTTATAAGAGCCTTGGCATTAATTTTTTTCAGTTGCAGCCGCTATAATGAACTATGTCCCCATCACAGTGACTGACACCTAAAAGGAAGGAAGTCCAATGGATCAAGTGCTAACTAGTGCTAAATACTGTGGGATATTAAGAAAGACTAAACAGATACTCCCTGAAGTTCTTACAGAGTCCTTCTAGAGCAAGCCAGATTTCTCAAGAAAAGCCTCAGAAAAAGGACAGTGGGAGTTAGGAACAAAGTAAGCTTAGGAGACAAGGAATGGTCTTAAAGGAGTATGAAAATACATTCAGTGACAAGGAAATATATATGCCTTCATATCCGCAATCCTGTTCCCAGGATTCTTCAATAGAAGTAAAAGCGCTTGTAATTTAGGGATATATGTATATAAAGGTATTGACTGCTGCATTGCATACAAAGACAAATCAAAGGAAACTATCAGAAGGGAGAATGCATGTATAATCTTTGGCACATTCTTATGGAAAAGTATACAGCTTTCAGTTCCAGCTTTTTTGCTGGTTAACCACCAGTGAATCTTTCAGATTTATCTGCTCAGATTCTTCAAACTGAGATCCTTGTCTCAGCTTCCTGAGTAGCTAGGATTATAGGTGTGTGCCATGGTGCTCAGCTTGCCCTTGTTTTGAGCTCACCAAAAGTGAGATGCAGGAGGTTCCACTTTTCCTCAAAAAGAGGGCAGTCAAGCCACTGAGCACTGAAACAGAAGATGCCTTCAGTGACCTCCGATCTTTGGAAACTAGGGAATTGGATCAGAGACACTAAAGCACTTGTCACCTGCTCCCCTAGCTAATACATGTCAGAGGTACAATTTGCATTCAGATCTAGCCGATTCCATATGCTCTGTTCATATTATGTGAGGGTGGACAAGAAGAAATGCCATAACTATTTTTTATTTTTTTGTTGGTTTGTGGGGCTTGAACTGGGCTTAGGTGCTATCACTGTGCTCTTCAGTTCAAGTTGAGCACTCTACCACTTGAGCCACAGCACCACTTCCAGTTTTCTAGTGGTTTATTAGAGATAAGAGTCTCACGGACATTCGTGCCCAGGCCGGCTTTGAACTGCAATCCTCATATCTTAGCCTCCTGAGTAGCTAGGATTAAAGGGGTGAGCCACCGGCGCCCGGCTTTATTATTTATTTAGTCATGTATTTAATTATTTGTCAGTCATAGGGCTTGAACTCTGGGCCTGCATTCTTCAGCTCAAGGCACGTTCTACCACTTGAACCACAATGCCATCCATTTTTCTAGTGGTTTATTGGAGATTAGAGTATCACAGACTTTCCTGCCCGGGCTGGCTTTGAACCACGATCCTCAGATCTCCGCCTCCTGAGTAGCTAAGATTACAGGTGTGAGCCACCGGTGCCTGGCATTTTTTTATTTTTTGTTGGTCAGGGGGCCTGAACTCTGGGCCGGGGCGCTGTCCCTGAGCTCTTCAGCTCAAGGCTGGCTCTCTACCACTTGAACCACAGCACCACTTCTGGCTTTTGCTGCTTGTGTGGTGTTGAGGAATTGAACCCAGGGCGCATGCATGCAAGGCAAGCACTCTACCACTGAGCCACCTTCCCAGCCCTGCCATAACTCTTTGTAATTC